TTTACTTCAAATAGACGACCAAGAACATTTAATTATCCACCACCAATGTCTCGACCAGTATCAAAAAGTTTTAATAGAATATCTGATTTTATATTTCCTGATACTGTTCATGTACATTTTCGTTCTTCTTCTTCTTCTCGTCAACAAGAACAACAAGAGCAACAACAACAACAACAACAGCAGCAACAGCCTATTTTTCAACGATATCAACGAACCGAAAATTATAGTTCACCTGCACTAAATCAACATGATTTAATTATTGTTGAACGTTTACCTGTTGAAGAATTAGATGATGTCGATTTACTCTATCGTGAACAATATTATGAACCAAATCAACAAATTCAACGTCATTATACATCAACCATTGATGAACATCGATTACCATCGAATGAAAAAATTTCAACAGGATTAAAAAATCGATCAGTTGCATATCGTGAAAAATTTCGTGATAGACGAAAGCGTCATACAACTGATAATGCCTACCATTCAATGTTAAAATCAATTATAGAAAAAGATCAACCACAATATGCAAATGATAGCAGTTCGAATTATATTCTTTCATATAGAACTACTCTTGATCCAATTACAGATTCTGAATCTATGACATCTATTAACCAACAAAATCATCAAAAACAATATAATAATGATAATTCACATTATCGAGTACCTATCAATGGAACAATACCTATAACGAATGAAAAACTACGTTCAAGACAATTTAGTTCGACAATAAGTACTCGAGATTCATCAAGTGATACAGACATCACTGAAAGACGTCCAAAAATAATGAATTCTACTCATTATCAACAAGAATCATCAGTAAGAAATATAGTTTCATTGAAATATTGATATCATATAGTGTATTTAGTATGTTAATTCATCAAATGTTCCTCCGACTATTTGGCAACGTCTTTCATCTAATCGCATACATGTTCAACATCAACCTGACAGATTCATTCCCATTCATTCATCAATGGCAGACACAAACAATCATGAAACAATGTCTGATTCGAATAATCTGATCACTTCATCGCCATTTAATAACGTGATTAATGATCAGATAAACAATCAAATATCATCACAAGACTCAACTCATCATGTTTCTTTGTGCGTCAATGATTTAAAGACAACATTATTTATTGATGAAGATGCATTGAATAATACAAAGACAACTATTACGAATAATAATAATAATAATAATAATAATAGGGATAAAAAAGGTAATTAATCGAACGCATACTGAATAATTTTAATTAAGACTTGTAAATGAAATCAAATAAGAAAATAATTAAAAACGACAACTATTTTTTCTTTTTGCCTTTTATTTCTTATTTAGCAGTTATAAAAACATTTATCGATCGAATTATCAAACGATTACATCATTTTAAATCTTCACTTGATAATGGATTAAGTATGCGTTGTGCACTCATTAGATTTCCTCCCTATTTGAAACGCATGTTTGTGTGCTTTCTCAAAATGCATTTGTTTTTTTGACACGAATGAAAAAGCAAAAACAAAAATCTGATATTTATATAATATCGTCATGTTTATTAATTTTAGTTCATATACGAAAACGAAATACATTGGTTAATGGATCGATTATCACTGCTGATTATCATTCATCTGTGGAAATGACAAAAAGAAAAACGAATATAAGTCAATCAGTTGATATTGTAGATGAAAATAAACTTGTTCGACCATATTTTTTAATTAAACCACAAACAGTACTTGTGTTACCGAATGAATCAGGTAAACTTATAGAAATCTAAATTTATTAAAAGAATATTATATTCTATTTTAGCTAAATTTAAATGTTGTTTTGGTGGTGATCCACTTCCGACGCTTATCTGGTCACATAATGATTCTCGTATACCTGAGATATTACTTACTAGTGATATAACATCATCACGATATCGAACATACAAATTACATGATATTTATTATTTGGATATTGGACCGATTAGTATTCGTGATCATGGTCAAATAAAATGTACAATTATGAATAGATGTGGTAGAGAAGAAGCCATTGCTCAATTATTGGTTGTTCGTAAGGATATGCAGACAAACATTGATTATTAATTATTATAGTTTTTTTTTAAGCTTCACCAGCTGATGCTACACCATATATTACGCAGCCACTTAATGATATAACTATTATTGAAGGAAGACCATTAAAAATATCGTGCGGTATTACTGGTTTACAAGTGACGGTCAACTGGTTTCATAATGGAAAAGTAATAATACTTTGTTTTTCGAGTAATTCTCATCAAACAATTTGAAAATCTATTTTAGTTGATTTCATCAATGACAGAATCAAAAAGTGATTATGATAACGAAAAGTCTATATTTACTCTTTCTAGTGTATATATTGAGATTAAAAATAAGAAAATTAAGATGTCTAATTATTTTTATTTTAGTTTTTGAGAACTGATGCTGGTACAATTGATTGTCTTGTTAAAAATCGTTTTGGAGAAGCAAGAACAAGTTGCCGTATTAAAGTAATCAATGAACCAGAATTTGACCGGTGAATATTCAATAATACCAAGAATAAATAGCACAGAGGAATATTTCATTTATTGATTTTGTTTTTTCTCTATTTTCCCATTGGTCCAACATGTTGTTTATTATCTATTCTTTTTCTTCTGTGTTGTATTGTAGCATTCTATTGCTTTCCTCAATTGTCATTATGACTCAATAAATTAGTAATGAAAACTAATGAAAGAAAAATATGTATAGAATAAAAAGATATGTTTGTTTTTTTCGATTAATTTCATTCTGAATAATTTAAAAAACTAATAAATTAGTACAATATTGAAATCTTAACTTTCTTTTTTGTAATAATGCTTATGAATAAATGATATGATTGAAAATAAAAGATTCAACAAACAATCACAATCATATAAAATCGTTCATTCATATTAATAAACCAAAAAAAAATATACTAAAGCTATCATTGCAACATAATTCAGATGAAGTATTACGTCCATATAGCAACATCCGTTTACTTCAATACTTGATTTAGTGTTAACTGCCCGAAAGGAAAAAGATCGAAGGGCAAAATCTCGGAAAACAAAATACCGAAGGGTAAAAATTTCGAAAATCGGAAATCCAGAAAAAATAAATCTTGAATGTGCAAAATCTCGAAAGTGTCAAATATAAAAGCAATTCGAGTACTTGATAGATACATTGTTTATTAATCAAGTGTGCTGAATAAGGGAAAAGCGTAGAAATAAAAGAGAATATAAACACAAAAATTGACCACGATGTGATGTTTTATCGGTAGATATGATCTTCGCCGAAAATCACATGGTCGAAATGAAGATCGTCGAATTAAAGATTAGAAAAAACTTCATTTATAAGAAATTCGAACGTTTTTATTGATGATCTCTATTTCTATGATATTCGTTTCGGTGACGAGACTTACAGCCGCCTGATTGTATATGGGTGTGTACAGAACAGTGTTGCCAGATCTTCCGGATTTTTTCACAGATTTATGATTTTTTCAGTTCATCGTGCTCAGAGATTTATAATTTTTTTTTTTATCAAAACTAGAATTATTGAAACTTATTCACTCTAATGAAAAATATTGTCCTAAAAAATAACGTGTAAATTAACAGCTAAATGTGTCATTGATTATTTCTGATTTATTGAATTCACTATGTTTTGTTGTATATTTTCTATTGTTTCATTCAAATATATTTTGTGAAAATAAAGAATAACATTATTGATAATTTGATTAAGAAAAATGTACTTTAAGCGATCAAAACTGACCCTCGAAAATCTTTCTGGGTTTTTCCGGATTGCGCATCTAGCAACACTGGTACAGAATAGAGCAACACTCCTGGCCACTCACATCTTCATCCACAACTATGTCCATACAACCACTTGTTATGCAACTTCGATATGTGAATTTTCGGGTATTCCACTGGTTTATATATACATAGAAGACTGAATAGACCGACGAAAAAAAAACAAAGAAAAAGGTAAAAGAATAACTCATCAACCATTCAGTGTCATTTTTTAGTTTTCGAACTTTCGAGATTTTGTATTTCGAGCAATTAGCCCTCTTCCCAATACTTAATGGTAAGCTAAAAGAGTAGCCTTACCATTATCGTAAGTATTGGTGTTAAATACTGCTATACTGGAAGGACAAGAAGAATATATTGATCATATAGAAAATAGAAAATTGAATATTAATATCAAAAGGAAAAAAAACGGCTAATGGGAAGATAATAAGTTCTGAGACAGTGTTTTACTTATCAACAGCATCATTTTCCAAAAAGTTAAACAACAGTCAAAATATGTTTTATACTGAAAAATAGTTTCGCCAAATAGCCGATAAACAAAAAAACAAAAAGCTTATTTTTTTGTTTTTCGACATATTGATGCTTTTCGACCCATAACTACCGTTTATGGCGTCATTTTTGACCTAGAAGCATATGATTGTCAAGCGCCATCTGTATCTTGGTAATTCTGCATGAACACGCGTCATTTTTACAGAAAACTATTAGTTGTTGGCATCTTCCAATTAAAACTAATAGTTGCAAACAAAATTTTTCATATTATTTATTCAAAATCAATCAATAATAAAGTAAAAAAAACAAAGAAGGTTCATGTTTTTCAACGAGATATATACTTCCTTTTTTTTTATTAATTTTCATATTATACAATGACGTCAAGTTGGAAAACAAAGGTCATATTTATATTAAAGCATTATCCACGATGAATACAAGTCAAATATTTCTTCCTACAGTTTTGCTTTGATTTGACTACTAATTTTTATGATATTTCTTCTCAAGGTCTTACCTTTTCTACGTGTGTTCTTTTAGACTCGAAGAAATTATGCTGAAAAAACAATGATTGTCTTATTTATAAGACGCAAGAAAAAAAAAGAATTTCATTTCGTTTAATTTTTTAATTTTTAGATAATTATTTAATACAAAAAATAACAAAACTCAAGATGTAGAAATAGAATTTTTTTTTCTTTTAATTTGAATCCAATGTTTTCATTAAGTCAGTATTATTTATTTCATCATTTATTAACGTTTGATGATTTATCAAAAAAAGCAGAATGTAAAAATATAAAATTTAAACGTGCTTTTGAATTTCTTCAATTACTTTTTCTTCAACGTGTTTATGGCATTGATATAATAACACGGTCATCAATGCGACAATTATTTAAACAACAACAAGATCAATTTGAAGTATTTCTTGGGGGTTCATGTAATCCAACAACATGGAGATATGAACAAGCTATTCCTTATTTCCAGTTCCATTCGGTTTCTTATTATAATCCTCAAGTTGCAAATTGGACACCAGATTTAGTTGAAATTGAACATAGTGCAAAAGAATCAGCAGAACTTTTATTTTTTGTTATTGATCATGACACACGGTCATTAGCAGCTATAGCTGAAGTATGTTATTTAATCGCACGTGACCGAACTACTATTGTTGTTACGAGTCCAATGCCAAAAGATAAATATCAAACGAAATTTATTCAACAAAAAAATTCTTTTAATGAACAAGACAATGAAAATGATTATGAAAATGCTTGTCAAGCAAGAGAAACATTAAGAATTTTACTTCAAATAAAAAATATACCTGTTTTTGATAATGTTAAAGTAGGATTAAAATGTGCAGGATTTCTAATTAAAAATAGAAAACAAACTATTACTAATTGTAAGACTTTAGTTGGAGAAAAAAAGAACAATGATCATGAAAAAAGTAAGCTATTGATTTATTAACAAAAATAAAACTAGATGAATTTTATCTAAACTTTTCATCGCAATAAAAAATCCATGAGGCTTCTTTTATGAAGACACTACCAATAAAACTTGAGTGTAGGTGACACCGAAGTGAAAATTCATACATCCATACCATATCATGATATTACGAGCAGAATAAANATTTAATCGCACGTGACCGAACTACTATTGTTGTTACGAGTCCAATGCCAAAAGATAAATATCAAACGAAATTTATTCAACAAAAGAATTTTTTTAATGAACAAGACAATGAAAATGATTATGAAAATGCTTGTCAAGCAAGAGAAACATTAAGAATTTTACTTCAAATAAAAAATGTACCTGTTTTTGATAATGTTAAAGTAGGATTAAAATGTGCAGGATTTCTAATTAAAAATAGAAAACAAACTATTACTAATTGTAAGACTTTAGTTGGAGAAAAAAGTAAGCTATTGATTTATTAACAAAAATAAAACTAGATGAATTTTATCTAAACTTTTCATCGCAATAAAAAATCCATGAGGCTTCTTTTATGAAGACACTACCAATAAAACTTGAGTGTAGGTGACACCGAAGTGAAAATTCATACATCCATACCATATCATGATATTACGAGCAGAATAAATATGAATTTGTTAATTTGTGACGATATTAAAATATCTGTTGTTAGACAAAGTGACGATTACAGAGTAGGCAGCACCTGACCAAGAGTAATTTAATAGCATCTGCGAAAATTTTGTTCGAAAAACTAGAATTGCCTAGACACAATAGAAGTCCTATGAGATCTTCTATTTCAAAGAGTGGTTTACCATCCAATCTCATATCATTACTTTGGACACTTATCAAAAAGCGTCCCTAACTGTGAAATTTATAGCGATAGAACAAACAATTTTTGACTAAAGTCTTCAACTGAATACAAAATTTTAAAAAAATATTAGGTTAAAAATTATGAGTAGCACTTCAGATTTTTATAATAACATCTTGTGAAACAAATAAAAAACGAAAATTAATATTATTTCGTCAGCTCTTTTACTTTTGCGATAACAAACGTTGAGCTTATTGTATCATTGAATATTTTGCTATTTCAAGTAAACTTTAGTATTTAATAATGAACTTTTGAATATTTTCTTTGCTATACGAAATATTAGCTTTGAATAAGCCATCAACTAATGAACTTTGTGTCGGTGACTTATTGTGGGTTTAGCAATTTTAATTTTTAAAAACAAATTCTAGCTTATATCTTGAGAATATTAGGGATACATGTATTTCTTAGTGGTGATTTCTAGTTTTATTAATAGCATCGTGGGTCTTTTCTTTTTTGTCTCGATTAAGCTTATTCGTCTGCATCGATACTTTTTTTTATCAAAGTTGTTTTTGTATTATTATAAATTTCTCTACAGTACTACAAACTCTAAAAGATTAAGGCATATGCTTTGTTATTCTACAGTTATTGATGCCTACTAGGTAGATTGTCCAAAGTCGAAAATGTAGTAAAACGATTGTAATTCCAGAAGAATAAGGTATAAGAGTAAGTCTTTTATGATTTAGACTAGTCTCACCGAGTTCTACGTATGAATGAACTATGAGCTCGATTGATGGCCTTCGACATCTAGTGATGTTCTCTTGTCTGTGAAATTAGTAATTGCTATTGACTATCTTTTTAGTTCCTCGTTCACCTTCAAATAAAACCAGTTTTGAATCTCCTGATAATTTCTATCGTGAACAATCTCGATCAACAGAAACAACTTTATCGTCTTCAGTTCCAGCTTATCGACGTCATAGTGCCACATCAATAACGCATACAATTCGTCCTTTATCATCTTTAAATCCATTTATTCGTTCAATTAATTTTACTACTGGTCTTCATTATCGTCAACCACCAATTTGTGCAAAATCACAAATATCATGTTCAACAATTGAGAGTGATGATGATGGTTATGGCTCATTAATATCTAGTAATTACACATTATCTCGATCAGCATCATCATGTGTAACTTCCGATTTTTATGAATGTTCTACTGATCATCAATTTGAAAACAATTCTTTAATGTAAGAAAACTAATTAATTAAATAATAATAATAATAATTTTATTTAGATTTTATCAGCCTATTTCTATATTAAATATTATGACATCAATTTTTTCTACATATATTTTATTTGTGCATTTTCCCACAACACCAAGTTCATTAATAACACAATCAATTTATATTCTCTGTACAGTAACTTATCGTTTTATATATTCTCTTTTTTCTTCTGTGAAAAATATGGTAACATCAAATAAAGAAATTGTTCATTTCAATTCTTCGACCTACATGTTCGATCTTTATATAGCTTCCGGCGATCATGATGAACATTGGTTAGACACATATGTATTACCGACGCTAAAAGAACTAAATGTAAAATATATAAAACGACAAACTTGTTATGATAATGATCAATTAGATGTTGTTTATAATATTTATGTACGTAAACGTTCACGCTTATTATATTATTTAATAAATGATAATGAACGTCTTTCAAATCTTGTTAGTGAACTTGCGTATCTTATTGGTGAACGTAAATATCATATTATTGTTTATTTACAATCAACGATTGATGAAAATTCAGATAAAATCTTAACAAAACATGAACGGCAAGATATTGAACGTTCAAGAAAATATCTTGAAGATTTAGCAAAAAAAGAGAATATTTTATTATGTCAATCACGTGAACAAAGTTGCCAACATGTTTTAGCTTTTTTTCTTTAAAACTAACACTAAATATAATAAGATTTTGCCTTACAGGATTATTATTAGTTTGTTATTAAAAAAACAAAACAATTTAATCAAGTTCTTTTTTTTCATGATGGGTGATAAATAACCAGAATTACATGTTTTTCTTATCCATATGTTTATTTTACGTTTATTTTTAATAAAAAATAAATAAACTTCGCTTAAAAAATCAGAAAAAAAAGAAAATTTTCTTATGACAATGATCAAGTATTCTAGCATATTTCTACTTACTAGTTTCTTTTATAGATTTAGATAACAGAAAAAAAAAAACATGATTTCAATAAAATAAAATGTTCATATCAGACGACATACGAATCTGATAGAGTTGATATTTATATAATCATTAAAGAAAATGTCATTTAACCTTGGTACAGCAACACCGTCAATCGATTCAAATAGTACTATAGAACATTTTACTAAACCTAATCATCCATCATATATAATCTCAAAGTTTTTATCTTATCTTCAACAAGGATTTCTTTGTGATGTTATTTTTATTTGTGATAACGGAAAAATAAAGCGACGTATAATTGCTCATCGTCTTATTGTTTCGATATTATCTGATTATTTTCGTAGTTTATTTGAAAATCATAAACAAACTGAGATTATTTTCAATGATATTGATCCAGATGTTTTCGAAAAAATTATACTTTATGCATATGAAGGTAAATTTATTTAATAACATAATTAATTTACCACAAAATTGGAAAATAAATATCTATTAGGTCGTCTGGAAATTCATTCAACTGATGTTACTAAAATTCTTGATATGGCACATATATTTCATATTATTGAAATAATTGAAGCATGTTGTAATTTTATTAAAACACAAGTTCAACCATCAAATTGTTTTAGTCTATATAGATTGGCTTTAAAACATAATTTACAGGATTTAACACAAAATATTTGGAATTATATTCTTGTAGGTTGTGTATTTTTTGCTTTCTTTTCAATATCAGTTCATTTTTTCTTTCAGAATCATTTCTCAATAGTTATTCAAAATAATCATGAATTTCTTAAATTATCTTTTGACGAAATGGAACGACTTTTAGCATCTGGTAAGTAGATTATTTTTATGATGATCTCAATACAGTGAATAAAAATGATCGTTACGTTAATAGTTACAAAGTAACAGTAACGACATTGCTACAAGTTATTCAATAAGTAATCTGTATTTTCATAAAATAAAGTTTCCTTAACGAATACATGAGGTTCACAAATTTTTCTTTGCCAGTTATCTATAATTGTAACTTCTCTTTTCAATCTTCGTATGAATTATTTTAGATGATATCAATGTTCAATCTGAAGAAATAGTTTATGAAGCATTCATTTCTTGGCTTGATTATGATTTAAATCGACATAATGATCATTTAGAAGAATTATTTAGTTTAATCAGATTACCTTTAATCAAACGAAAAGTATAGTTAATAAAATTTATTTTTATATTGATTACTTTATTTTATTGAAATAGTATTTAACAGATTATATTGATACAAATGAAAGATTTGAAAATAATAGTTTATGTCAAATATTGATTATTGAAGCAATGCGTTATCATTTAGCACCAGAAAAACGTTTAACTATGAAAACAATAAGAACTACACCAAGAAAATCAACACTTGGTGCATTTTATTGTTTTGGTGGAATTGATAATACTAAAAGTAAGAATAATTAAAAGTGTGATTTTATATTTTGGTTTCGAAAATTAGATCCACAAACTATTGAAAGATATGATTTTCGAACTGATTGTTGGCAAATAGATGGTCATTGGAATAGTCGACGTTCTCAATTTGCATGTATTAGATTAAATAAGAAATTATATATATGCGGAGGTCGAGATGGTCTTAAAACGTTTGTTAATATTTTTATTAACTTTTCATGAATGATTTTTCTTGTTATTAGGTTAAATAGTATTGAAATCTATGATTTTCAAACTAAAGTTTGGACTATTGGGTCACCAATGCTTACTAATCGTTATGATTTAGGTATTGGACATATTGGTGGTCCTTTATATACTATTGGTGGTCATGATGGACGAGTTATTCTTAATACAGTAGAACGTTTTGATCCGGAAACATCTGAATGGACTTATGTTGCATCGATGAATAATGCACGGTATACATTAGGTGTTGCTGTTCTAGAAAATCGGTAAAATTTCTTTTTTTTTTCATGTACTTCTAATTTGTCTATATTGCTTTTTTCTTTAGGATTTATGCAGTTGGCGGTAAAGATAGTTCTACAAGTCTTCGAGAAATTGAATTTTTTGACCCACATACTAATCGTTGGTCACAATGTGCATCAATGATAAAATGTCGTGCTAGTGTAGCTGTTGTTTCTTGTAATGAATTGTTATATGCTATTGGTGGTTATGAATTTTTAACAACAAATAAAAATATTATTCGGCATGATGATGGTGAACGTTATGATCCAAAATGTAATCAATGGACATTGATTACTTCGTTTAGTCGACCAAAAGAAGGTTTAGGAATTGCTGTTGTTAATAATGAATTGTATATTGTTGGTGGTTTTGATGGAAAATTTTTAAATGAAATGGAAAAATATAATACAGAAACTAATAAATGGAAAAAAGTAGACAATGAATGTTAATATTTGATAGGATACGAGAGAATTTCTATTTTTTCTAGTGTTCTCCATTAGGAACAAAAAGAGCTGGTGCTTGTCTTATTCATCTACCTAATTCTATTAATCAATCATTAAATATACCAATGTTATCTCAAGGAAATAAAAATTCTTCAACTGGTTCTCATCAAATGAATCGTCTTATTCTTTCATAAATTATTTTTACTGATAAAAAAGCTTCTATTCCCGTGTTTTAGTTTAATTTTTTACAATTTTTTATATCCATTAGAATTTACTTCGTATTTTACTTGATAACAAATGTGATTAAATAGTCTTCCAAAATGATCTTCAACTAGTCGTTTATAAAATTTCTTCGCTTATCTTTTTAGTTAATTAACAAATATTGTTCATATCATATGCTTGTCCATTGTTTTTTATCTTGATGCCAATACATCATGCACAAAAACAGATCAATAAGATAAGTAATATCTGCAAAGAATAAACAAGTACAGCAGAGTCTCTACTAGTGAAGACATCCTGATTATGAGCGATCTCAAATCTGGTAGAGGGATTCTTGCCGGAAATCTTTCTCTATATCGTTAGCATCTCCTTATTCTTAACAATGAACATTTTTTTTTTGTGATTCTTCTAGCCATTGTAACTTCTCTCTGTTAAAATTATATTTGTCCAAAATGAGTCAAAAAAACAAAGCACAATTACGAAAAATAGCTCGTTATCCATCTGTAAATCATTGAATATCAGGCAAAAAAAAAGAATCAACTATAGCTAAACTCGATATGCTTAATTTACTTTATTTTTTTTTAAATTGTATACAAATAATTACAAATCAATATTCTCATACTTAAGTTCTTTCAAATAAATCTCATCAATCATACTATCATCAATTGTTTTTAATTGTTCACTAATTGTATTTGCAGATTTTAAAGTAAATTTTGCTGATAATAAGCCGCATGCAATAGCACGATCAATATTATTAAAATTTGTTTTTAATAATTGATTCATAACACCTGCAGCAAAGCTATCTCCAGCTCCCGTTACATTTTTAATATCTTGTTGTTCTTTATCTGCTATTAAAGCTTTATACATTCTTAATTTTCCATTATTACCAATCAATACACCATCAGAACCCATTGTTATACAAATTAATTTTAAATTAGAATTTTTTTTAAATAAATTTTTTAAACTCAATTCTATTGATGATGATTCTGTAATTGCTTGAAATTCAAGTCGATTACAAAAAAGTACATGAATATCTTTTAGATATGAATTAATTCGTCGAGCTTTATTTGGACCGCCAGCAGAAATAAAAACTAAATATTTTTTATATTTACTACTAATTTCTATTAAATATTTCATTGCTAATTGACTTAAATTTGCATCAAACATAATCCATTGGCTATTGATTAAAATTGAAAGATATTTATCTAAAAATGTTGGTGTTATTTGTCTTTCATATATATCCATATCACCAAAACCACAAATAAGTTCATTTGTTTTTGAATCAAGCAAAGATATATAACACGCTGTTGATTCACCTTCGATTTCATGAATAAGAGCTGGCGTTGAATCATTTATTGTTAATAAATTAGACGTACCCGAAACAGTAAGAAGACGAATAGAATGATTTTTTAGTAGATGAAGAGCATGTGTGACGTTATATGCAACTCCACCTAAATTCTGCCGTAAACGACAAGGAATAGTGGAACCTTTATGCGGTATAAAATCAGCATTAAGTTGAATATGTAAATCAATATTTCGTGCTCCAATAATAACTTTATTTATTGAATAATAAAATGTATAAATCTTTGTTATTTTTCTTTTTCTATTATAACTACTTACTTAAAGAAGATGAATTTGATTTAACTGATGATAAAGCAACAGCAATTTGTGATGCAATACGAGCATTTTTATAAATTAATTTTTGATTCGTTTTTATTGATTTATTACCCGTTTGACGACGAATTTCACTTAGAACAAATGGTGTTACTTTATTACCCGTTATTTTTTCTTTTGTGGCTCGTTCGAGAGATTCACGAATAATTGATTCTATTTTTTCTCCGCCATCATCTTCTAATTCATCTTCTTTGTCAATAGGAACAGCAAGTAATAGACCAGAATCAAGTTTTAAATCAATCATACTACGAACAAGTCGTGCTGCCTCATCAATAGTACGAATTGCTGCACATGAACGTGATCGAAATTCATTTGTTCGTGTAAAAAAATTTGGAAATTCATCTGTGTCACCAAATGTATAAACTAAAAGAACAATGAATGCTATATAAATCAAGAAATATTTCTTTTTTTCTAAAAGTACCTCCAACGCCTTTTGTTTCAAGATATTCAAGTGTTTTAGGAATATCAAGAATTGATTTAACACCACTTGAAACAACACAAACAGGTGTACGTCCTAATTCATCTAAATCTGATGATATATCACCCGTATTTATTGAATCGCGATGAACTCCACCAATACCACCGGTTGCAAATAATGGAATACCACAACGATGTGCAATAAGCATTGTTGCTGCGACTGTTGTACCAGCTGATGCTTGACGAGATATAAGATAAGGTAAATCACGTCGAGAAGCTTTTTCAACATTATTCAATGAACCAAGTTGTTCTAATTCAGTTTGTGTAAGTCCAACTTTAATTCGACCATTTAAAATAGCAATTGTTGCTGGTATTGAACCATTTTCACGAATAATTTGTTCAATACGTAAACATGTTTCAATATTTGATGGTCGAGGTAAACCATGTGTAAGAATAGCTGTTTCACATGCAACTATTGGACGACGTTCATTTAAAGCTAGTTTTACTTCAGGATTAATATCAAATCCATATGTACTGAAATAACGAATATGACGACAATGAAATGATGATAATAATAATCGATTAACACTTAGCATGTTGTTTAGTTTCGTATGATTATAGCATGGACTCCAGTTTTTTTTTCCTTGACACTTGTTGAAATGAAAGATAAGAGAGATAAAAGTTTGTCGAAAGAAAGAAAAAAGCTTCACATTACATACTGATTCAGTATGATGTTCGATAAATAAATGTCTTGCTGTCACTTTAGAATAGAGACAAACTATGAATAATTTCTTTAGTTCAAGAAAACTTGTTGAATTGATGTAAAAGTGATGAATAGAAGAAAATCAATCAAAGGATATATTTCTAATATCTGGAGCATAACGATGACTAGAAATCACTTAATTATGATTATAGTTAATATATATTATATATTATATGGATTTATGAGTCAGACTAAAGTTCTTTGAGAATATACAAAATGTTTTTAAAGATTCGATGTTTGACATTTAGAATATTCTAATATATGATTATATTAATTCTTTTATCTAGAAAGAGACATTCGCAATTTATGAGCCATATACAAACCAACTTATATATACAGTACTGTAATAATAATATCACTACTATATCTTTGTTTGTTGAAAAATATTCATTGTTATCATTTTAGACAACGATTAACTGTACTAACGTATCGTTTGAATGCATTTAATGATATTAATGAATCCGAGACGAATTTCAATGTACTCGACTATTTTGAAATGTGATCTTCATCTTTTTTAGCCTTCTATGAATTCATATTCAGACCCATCACTCTACCGATTAGTTTGAATAATACAAGCACTAAATCGATTCTATTCTTACAAACTGAATACCATTTTAGTGCTAATGTCGATATTTAATACATCCTGTTAATTCTAACCATCTTCAACAGAAAATGTATTTAACTACGTGTTATTGAGTTTTTGCATAGATTTCGACGTGTACGATCATCTATCTTCACTTGATCACAACTGTGATCTCTTTTTCTCTTTAGTTGCTAGTATCACACAGCATTGCCAGGCAGTACCATTATGCATATATATCAAGTGAACACAAGAAACTTCAGAGCTGGCAGTACTCGAGAAATTATGGAATCTCTTACGCCCAAAGTCTTTTAGAACAACATGAAGTCAAATCATATTCTGTAAAATTCCATGGGGTTTCAGGATTATAGTTGTTTGGATAGAGTTTTGCTACTACTCAAGTTCTAATGCTAGAGATGAAACCAGTCTGAATAGACCAGACCAAACCAGGCCAGTTGGTAATCGGTATCAGTTCCATCTCTGTCTAATGCTACATTATCGTCAGATATTAGATTTTAAGAGATCTATATTATGATGTAGTATTCCAAAGTTTTCCATGGAGCCACCTGCAGGCTTCTATAAGATTCTGTACTATACCAATTGACTTTGCAATTTCAGGATCTCATGAAGTTTGATTATTCTTCACGAAGCCTACTGTTTCTCTGTGAGTATACGTCCTATTTCAGACTTTTTATGAAAAAAAGAAATCCCAATTTTTGTATTCTCTTTAAAACGCTCCGTCGCTCATGGGTTAATATTTTTCTTTTTTCCACTGTTAATTCTTTGTTTGACAAACCAATTAAAATGAATCGATCAAAAAATTTGAATTTTCTATTCCTTTCTTTACAAGTGATAAGCTCGTTTATTTCAATTTTTTTCCAATTAATAAATTTGAATAACACAATTAAAATTAAGTGTCATATCAACTTGACCGTGAACATGAGGCGAAACAATTTCATAACTCGATTTTTGAAGAACATAAAAATTGATTTGATCTTCAGTAAAACTTCAATTAACGTGATCAACTCTTACACATCCATTATGAATTTTATCATATAAACAAAAACAAAAAAAAACTTGTTGAAAAAAAAGTTATTAGCATAGCAAATTTATTTACTTGGTAGTACAATATCATTATATTTACGAACAAAAACTTTACTTTCATAAGGAATATCATTTGCCGCTATGAGTCAGAAAAAAAAAGAATAACTATCTGAATAAAAAAAGAAAACAAAAGAAATTTAACTACTTACCAATACTTACCTACGATTAAAGTGCATTGCCTTTAGAACTTAATGAACTAGCAACTTTCATAAAGCAACTACAACCACTATTGCCTCTGTTTACATATTTAAAAACAAAAGATAGTTTGAAATAAATATAAGATGTCTTAAACAGACACGCCAGTACGAAGTCATCCACTACGTTCCATTTGTAATAATTCCCAATAAGTTTTTTGCGATTCTCGTAAGAGTACCATCGCTACAACTTATCAAATTATGATTCGAACCAGCTGGATAGTCTAAAAAGAATTAAAAAAACACCAATAGTTTTTCAGTGTCAACATTTTATGCATTCGTTTACCTTCTTCAAAAGCAATCCAATAATATGTAACTCGTACGTTTTTAGCCGATACGAAATAGTTAAGAACAATATATATCATACATAGTACTTTAAAGGGTTGCATTTTATCAAATTAATGTTTTATCCATGCCAAAAATTAAAAACTATCGACTATAGTGGCTATTTGGTGTATTTGTAGGCTATTTTAATAATAGCATATAATATTTTTAGTGTTTTTTTTTTATAGTATTAACGTTAAATCTCTTTTAAATAATGATACGCAACAAAAAGATTGAACTATCTTCGTAAATATTTTTTTTTTGAAAATCATGACCGAAACATATATGTGATTACAGAAATATTGGTTAGTCATAGTCGCACGAATTTTCTGTCAGTGACAGAAAAAAATCTTTCAATGAAAATTTCTTTTCCATATAGGAAGTCATCCATTAAAGGTATTCAATCAAAACCAACTTTTTTTTTCCTTCCTTTCCTCGAACCCTGTTTGGTCGAACCTATCCCCTTGTTTCGGACATCCTTATGTGTTCGATAACTTCCTTCCGTCTGTCTGAACTTGTGCGATTTTGACTGATCCTCTTCTCCGGATGTCTGCTGTGGATGATCTCTAAAGTGCTTTATAAGTTTTGTTACTGTGTATTTTTGGATTTCTACGTCATTCAAAGGTGAGTATACAATGATACTATATATATAGATATATATATATGAATAGAGTAATATCAAAGCTGTCGTCCAGACAAAATTCTTACATTAATAAACATATTTAAAATGTAATTTTCAAATTTATTTCACTATTCTCTTACTAACATTAAGATAAATAATACTCATATACTTACAACAAGTCACTTTCGTTGTTCTATTATTATGTAGTTTAATGGCAGATTAAATTTGACTTTCAGTTTCTTTATACGCTTATGACTTAAATGCGTAAAAGTAAATAATAAGTTTAAATATGTATATCAGTATAGAATTTTCGTGTGCAATCGCTTATGGATGAAAGGTTAGGAGCTATTTTTCAAACATATATAGTTTCAATATTTTTCCATCCTTAAATATAATAATGATACAAAAGAAAATCAAAATGAGAATGAAATTTATGAGTATATTTTATGTGTGTATTTTAGAATTTAATCCACATCAAGCCAGATCAACGTAGCGTGATCGACGTATAATAATTATGAGTGTAATTTTGTTGGTATATATCGATTTTCAGCTATGGTTCGATATTGATTAATCGAAAGTGAAGCTTTATTGTAGGCTATTTGTTTTTTGATTAAGAAGGAGTAACATATAAAAAGAAAATGCTAAGTAAGACAAAAAAGAAACCATTTTGGATCACTGTACTAATCAAGGTAAGGTCAGACAAAATCATCGATCGACTTCTTGAATGAGTAAGGTGTGCTTATAATCAAACAAAAAAAGGAAGAAAAAAAAAGCGTAGAGCGAGAAATCGTCTACGTTAAAATAAATAAGGGAATGACGCAGTACCTACATATATCAAAATCAATCGTTTTAATCTAAAGTATTATATGATATATTGCCGAATTTTTCATACCCTAAAACATGTTCAACTCTAGTACAAAAAAACGATTTATGATGTTTTGTTAACAAAAAATATCAGCTAAGTATTGACAAAAAAATAAAATAAAATGAAATTGCTCTGGATTTTCAAAGAACAATCGATGAATAATTTTCTTTTTCTTTCTATTGTTATTGTCAATAATTTCTATATTTTCTCGAACGCATATTCATTAATATTGATGATCGTATCATTGATCAAAGTGGTTTGAGGTCATTATATAACTTTATCTTAAAAAAAAAATTTAATATGAAGGTGAAATGAACATCGTCACACCTTGTCCTTTATTTGATTCAGCACATAATATATCATGATAACCAAAAATTTATTTCGAAAATATATTCATATGATCATACAAAACCAAAATACATGAGTATTAATACTAAAAAAAACAATTTATTTTCAATACATAATTATATATTATTTTACATAATTAACTAGAAAAAATAACAAATAATTTTTTCTTTGATCAATATTTATTTTACTTTATAGCTAAATTTTATTTGATAGATGACGTTTTGTATGTAGTGTCAAATGATCGGAACGAGAAAATGCTCGATCACAATATTTGCAGGCAAATGGTTTTACACCGGTATGTTTTCTAAAAATAAGACAAAAAAACGATGAAAATAAAAATTTTTAATTTCTTTTTGTTTTATTAAATTATTTTTCTTTTTACCGAAAATGTCGTGTTAATTCATCAGATCGTCCGAATTTCCATTCACATCCTGGCCATGTACATGCATATGGTTTAATACCAGAATGCATTCTCTCATGAGAACGTAAAAGGGATAGTTTTGAATAAGTTTTTACACATCCAGGATATGAGCATAAGTAAATTGTTTTATTGTCTCGTTGTCTAATATTCGATGTTGTTTTTTGTTTTGCTTTTGATATCGCTGAACTAATTATTAATGAATGATTTTTCAAAGAATTACTAAATGGATGACAAGGCATTGGCAAAGAATAATTCTGTATGTCAGACGAATACATGTTTTCAATAGAAGATGAAATTGGAGCAGGTAAAGGTAGTGGCGGTGTCATAGGAACTGTTGATTTATCGTCTAATTGATATTGATTAGGCTCTTCATGAACAACATCGGTAAGATTATTGCAGTCAATTGTATATGAATCTGATAATATTTCATTATTGTATGAACTACAACAAGATTCTATTTCATTTGTATTGTTTTCCTGTTGTTGTTGATGTTGTTGTTTGACAAAAATTTCATATGTAATAGGTTCATAACATTCATCATCTGGTGGAAGACATTGTTGACACATCAATGAAGATTTCAACGAAGGATTGAATGAATCTAAATCAGTTGTTGAAACTGAATGTTGATATGGATGTTTATTTAATGATGTTGTTGAATATGGATGATGAATTTCAAATGGAATAAAACGTGAAAACGAACTACAATCAGATGAACAAATTGATGAAAAAGATATTGGTGGAATTGTTTTAATTAATTCATCATTTGTATCATAAGTACTATGAATATCATATTGAGAAATATTATCAAAACCATTGAGACTTTTAAGACGAGTTGCTTGTTCATAAATATTAGGTGTTTGAATTGGATGCAATGTATCATCACGAAAACATGTAGTTTCACGCCATAATCTTTCTATTTCACGTGAATACTAAAATTAATAATAGTCATAAAAGATTATTTTACGAATTATATACATTTCTTTTTTTTTCTATTAAAAAATGAACCTACTTTATTTGATAGTTTTTTATTAGTAAAAGCTTCTAGTTTATGGTCTTCATTGTTGGCAATTTTAGTATGTTTTAAATAAATAAACTTCTTCATAATGATCAGTCGTTTGTATTGTATTAATCGTAGAATATTTAAGTATTATACGCATCTAGCTCTAGTTTGGTAGACAAAAAAGTGTACTTCGATATATGAGTACATATTCAAAATGAAAAGGAAAGAAAAATTACTGTATATACCGTTTTCATTATGATGAGAATGTAAATAAAAATGGATTCAAACGTTTTGTTAGAGAACACAAAACAAGATTGGCCAACGAAGCGTTATAGGTATCTATCATTTTCATAATACAACCCTTATCTACATTAGATATAATTACTTGACGTTGCTGTTTTTTTCAACTCTCATACACCTTTATGGACCAGAAAAATGCATTTCTTATGAATAATAGTCAGACAAACTTGTTTGATGTTCTGCGCATATGCATCCAAGTGTGGGTGTTTTTTTTTTGCTTTCTTTCTCACTCATTTTCACCTTGGTGTCTTTCATTAAATGGACACATTAGCAAGGCTATGAGGATGCTTTACTTGATCCATACATAATCATAAATTAAGCATATATATTAGTTATTTTGATGCTTTATAAACGCTTTTGAAAAAAATACAAAACGCAACTACTCAATGACTTGCTACACAAGTTATTTGACTTAAAAGTAAACTGTTACACGTAATAGAAGGCCTCTCTTAGAGGAACAATGTACTGGACGTTATATAATATGTACTCCTTGTTCATTATTTAATATCTCTCAAAAATTCGAACTTCAATTAGTATATTTTCTTCAAAATATGTCTTGTTTTCAATGTTTTGAATTGAAAAATCTTGAAAGACTGAGATTAAAACATTTTCTATACTTTTAAAACTCCCAAAATTCTTTTCCCAAATTCTCGAAATTCTGTCGTTTCTTTTTTTCAAATTGTTTCAATTGAAGTTATGAAAATAAACGAAACACAATAGAAGATCAGGAGTCTTCTATTACGTTAAGGAGTTTACTTTCATATTGACAGAAAAAAAATCCTTCTACTTGTGTTTGTTTTATGCTTCTCAATTAAAAATGTACAGTAAAAAAAAACTACTCCAAGAAATGGATACTATTGGATGTCTTTCATAAGTATCTATTTTATAATGGTAAGATGAGTTTTTTTTTTCGATGATCAACTGAAAATGAAAAAGATTTAATAAGAATGTAATCCAACGATTAATTTGAATATCATATGAATAAAACCAAACTATGTTTAGTTAACCGATGCCAAAGAGCATTACTATACCCGTATTCAAAGGTCAATATAACTCATTTGTATACATTAAAAGTGGACCGAATGTTCTTTTTCGATCCAATCAACTGTATTCATATCCCTACTATCGTGCATATTTATTGTCGATTGAAAGTTGATTAGTAATAATATTTATTAGAACAGTCAAACGATATATTGACGAATAATACGATGTGCAAGGAGCAGCCAAGGCAAATAAAAATACTTAATTAGCGTGCAAAATAACTGAATATGTGCAAAGGTGTGCCGAGGAAAAATAAATGTAGAGCAAAATTACATTTATTAGATAAATGTTTCAAGTTTTATGCATCTCAAAATAAAAATTCATCCTTTATACAAAAAATAATTATGAAATATATTGTCATTAGTTAATATAACTATACAAAATCTTTTAGATGACTGAAATATTCTCCTTATGAAACTTTGAAGAGTTTATTATTAATAATTCATGAAAAATAAATTCAATATATTATAGCAATGTAATGGAAAAAATTGTTATTGATTGATAAATTTCGAAGTTTTAAAAATCATCATTTTGCTTTTTTTATTTCTAGCACATAGTCAATAAAAAATGATTATACTTCAAATAAAATTTGTTTATAATTTTAAATAGTTTTCAAATGAATGCTTTCTCGAGATTGTCAAAAAAAAAACAACACGTCATTTTCTTGTTTAACCTATTGATATGGCTGAATAGTAATGCATTTGTAAAATTGAAACAACAAAAAAGAAAGCTGTTAGTTGGATCAATGTGGGACTCAAAATGTAAAACACAATGTAGCTGCTCTTGTTAATTACAGAAAGACTGTTTTATTTTATCTATTTTAGAACAGATTTCTTCACCATCCTTTTACTTAATCTTCTACTAATGCAGTAAGCAAGTAGCGGATAAATTTACGAGGCATTATTCATGTACGATTTGTGATCGTATATCAACAACATCTGCTATGGTCTATAATGAGTCATGTCTAACGGTTTCATATATGCATTTTCACGATATTTGGCCAAAATATTTTGTTATTTTTAATAGGATACGGCAAATCATATCTCAATCGATTCTGGTCTGTTAGACGTGTCTCGAATGAATGATTTATGCTTACACGTCTAAATATAGGCAATAAAAAATTTTATGTTCAATACCTTAACACAAAATGATTATCTATGAAGTAGATTACATCTTCTGTGGTTCTTTTCTCTTATTCAAAAATATTCCATCCTGAACAATTGAAATATTCAATTTTGTACATGTCAGGATATTTTGTAGAGATCTCGCTATTATTTTATTTCTCGAACTTGACAATGAACAGAATTTTTTACTACAAGCAAGAAACATAGAAAGAAAAGAAAAGGTATAAATTTCACATAGAACAGTTCACCTGATTAAGAGATATTTTAAGTGATGAATTCAAAATATGACAGGTAAAAGAATACGTATATATAGGACTTTTTCAATTCTTGTCAGTCGATGCTCATTCAAGATCTTGATACACTCTGAAATATAGTTATTTTCAGAAAACTTTTTCTTACCGGTCATTTTAATTTTAAAATCGTACCAAGTTTGACCAACACATTTCTGTCACGACAAATCCAATTTTGAGACAATAAGACAAAGCGTCTCTCAAGTCTGTATTTTGCGTATATTTAACAAATAGAATTTTCTTTTTATAGAAAAGTAAAGTCAGATTCTGATTCTATGCACTTTTTTCTATCGTAATGCAATGAAGAAAATGCAAACATAAATTTTTCTTAATTGAACAAACTTTTTCTATGTCAAGATATGACGTCAATTTTTGCTTTTTTCTTTCACTTCCAACAAGTATAACGCGTGATAGGAGTAGTATAGACTGATGAAATTATCAAAAATACAACAAACTATTGAGAGAAGTGTTCTGTAAGATATTCAAGTCACTTGAAGCTTCCGAACACGAAAAATAAATGATTTAGTACGAATGATACAATTGTAAATTTAGTCAATGAAGGTACACATCCATAAATAAAGCTAAAATTATTGAATAGGACATATTTTTGTTTCATAGTTTGCAATATTGTATTTTTATTTAGCAAAATTATTATCTGATTTCTTTAATAAATATCTACAGTTAAACTTTATTACCCATTTTATGTTCAATCTGATATGACAAACAAATTCTTTTTGTTTTTAGGCTTTCTAATCTTCATCAGTCCTTATCAAAAACAGAATGAATGTAACACATATATAAAAACTGTGATTAATGCTACTTAACTATATCTTGTGTCTTATACTCGGTGCGTTTGAATACGATTCAAGTATCTTGTCATTTGAAAAAAAAGCAAATACTTGAATTGGTAACAAAATAATCAATAGTAGAATGTCCAAAAGTAAAACAAGAAAAATTTAGTTATAGAAATGAAAGGATTTATCAAAACTATCTTAATTTGAGCTCTTCCCAGCAATAAAGAAAAGTCCATGCCAATCAGATTAATCGAAATTAAGATAAGTGCATGTGAGGATAGCGTGATGACAGATCTTTCTGAAACAATGTCAGTTTTTTATGAGACATATTATTTGTTTTCCTTTCAGAAAAAGTAGCAAATCTATTTTTCGTTTTTCTAATTGTGCATCCAAGAATTTTTGAAGGAGGCTCATTGAAGCAAATTATTTGCGTTTTGGTCGGAAAAATCATGTAAAACCAGTGCGTGACAGGGGCCATTTTTTGAATTAAAGTCTTTTTATTATTATATAAAAATGCACTTCTATAAATATATGACCATTTTTTTGAGGTCTTCAACTTGTCTTTCTTTTTCTTTGCATAAAAGGCAAGCATTGAAAAAAGAAGGACGTTGTTGTCACACACTGCAGTCTCCATGCTTTTTATCAAATGAAAAAATAAACTGAATATACTGAATGAATCTCACAAAGAATTTAGGATTGTCGAATAAGATATTTTTTTTTATCTTTCTTTGATGAATATCTTCAGAAAACGTGATGATATGGAGCTGAAAATTTTAGCATAGCCACTCCACTACATCTCCAACATATCCTAAACATTTCGTGTGATTTGAATGCATCTGATCCAAGATTGATTTTTGAAGATGGGAAAAGATGTTAACAATGGACTTAGCATGGAACTAACTGATCTGGCATTATACATCGTTCTTGCATTATTTTTCTTTTCACAACAAATACATTTGTCCACAAGATCTTTGAATATAATGGGACTAAAAAATTTTTAATGTGTTTTTTTTTTCTTACAAATAGATTCAATAATCATTTATTTTAGGCAACTAAATTGATATGAATATTTTCAATAAATGGAAAATTTTTCACAAAGGAGATTAAGCTTCCACTATCTCATTTATTCTTTTCATTTTAGAATTTTATTTATATCGAGAGACTTTATACTTGATTTCATCATATAACAAGAAATACTTCGTCTCACGAAAAAAATTGACAATTGATCTGCAAGCATGTTCTCTATTGATAATGGAGTTTGGACACATTATTAAAATAAGTAATATGGTTTACTGTAAGAAAAAAAGAAAATAATCATAAATAAAAAATGTAAACTATGCTTCTCATGAAGGGATATACTTAGGGCAGTCCAAAAGTAGTGGCGGAGGTACTTTATTTTCTTACAGAAAGCTTTTAAAAAAATTTCTGTTTTTATGAATAAATAGAGCGTCTTTCGCTCTATTTTTCTATGCTATTTGATCACTATTCAACTGGTATCATTATAATAAAATTTCGATAAGATCTGTTTTCTTCGCATATGTGCTGGTAGCATGAATGCTCGTGAGTATTTTTTGAATAAAGTTTGATAGAAACAAGATAGAGAACTGCGGTTTTCACCGTTGGAAAAAAGAGATGACGATGCATCGAACCATATATTACTGATTTTCCTAATATTATGTTTGAAGTTTTTTCATTCAATTCTCTA